CAAAGCCACCTTTCCCTACAGCTGCATCTTCCCTGGAAGAGACCAGCATACTTCTGTTTAATGAAGCCCCAAAGAACCCAACCAGACACATTTTTGCTAAAGGCCCAGAATTGAAACGCTGACCATGTTCTCTCGCTCACAGAACGGCTGCGTTGCTGAACACAGAAGAGAAATCTGTACCTGCGTAGGCTCACGTAGATTGCACGTGGGCACAGGGACGGGTCCACCTCAGCTTGAGTCCCTGCTACTCCTGGAAGTAACTGCCTGGCCTTGGGCAAGAGGCTTAACCCTTCTGGGCCTCTGTGTCCTCAAGTGTGTATCAGAACATTAATGATCCCAACGGCTTGTAGATTTTAGGAGAAGTAACAGAACTAATGCCTACAGGGTACGTAAGCTGGAGCTGGAGAGGTGGTGAGGCCGTCAGGAGGGCAGTCTGCTCTTCCAGAGGACCTGGGTTTGTTCCTTGCACCCTAGTCAGGTGCTCACAATCTCCTCCTGTACCTCCAGTTCCAGGGGATCTAAAACCCTCACACAGGTGCACATCCTAACCCCAGGCACACACATTTGTATATTTTAAAATCATTTTTAAAAATTGCTTGAGCCACATAGAAGGCACTCACATATATGAAAATGTCAGTTAAACCCAGACTTCCAAAAGTTGACATCTGACCTCCACACAGGTGCTCTGGCACACATGACCCCCTCACACACACAAATGAAATGTAATGGATTTTATTTTATTTATTTATTTATTTATTTTAAATTTTATTCATTATGTATAGTGTTCTGCCTGCATGTATGCCTGCAGGCCAGAAGAGGGCACCAAATCTCATTACAGATGGTTGTGAGCCACCATGTGGTTGCTGGGAATTGAACTCAGGACCTTTGGAAGAGCAGGCAGAGCTCTTAACCACTGAGCCATCTCTCCAGTCCCAATTTTATTTTATTTAGTGGTTTTGTTGGACAGGGTTTCTCTATGTAGCCCTGGCCATCACAGAACTTGCTCTGTAGACCAGGATGGCTTTGAACTCACAGAGATCCATCTGCATCTGCCTCAGCCTCTGTTTCCTGAGAGCTGGTACTAAAGGCATGCACCACCACTGCCCAGTTTGCTTGCTTGTTTATTTGTTTATTTATTTATTTATTTATTTATTTGAGTTTTATTTGTTTGATTGTTTTTGTCTTTGTCTTTTTCGAAACAGGGTCAAAAAAAAGAAGCAAAAATAAAATTTTAATCCAATCGATAAAAACATGGGCTGTAGAGATGACTTGACCATTCGAAGCATATACTGAATCCATAAGAGGTGGAGTCCCTCTTGTGACTTCCTTGGGCATCTACACACACACGTAATTAAAAATAAAATTAAATCTTTGAACAACTATAATATAATAAAACAATAAAATAAAATACTATAATATAATAAAATAAGGTATCAATAGCAAAAGGGGGCCAGGAGTGTCTTTCCGTAGACAGAGTGCTCACCTAGCATGCAGGAAGCCCTGGGCTTTGTTCCCAACACGGTACAAGTCAGGTATGGTGGCATATGCTTGAAGTCCTAGCACTCAGGAAGTAGAGCAAGGAATTCAAGGACATCCTTAGCTATATCATGAGTTTGAGGCCACACTGAGCTATTTGAGACTCTTCTCTCATATACACCAAAATCACTATAAACCAACAAATTAAATTAAATACAAAAAATAAAGAAGGATAGCTCAGTTATACAAACCCTTAGCCTAACATACAGGAGGCCTAGATTCAATCCCCTGTCCTGGGTGAGGGAGGGGGACACACTTTATCATTGTCCACAAGACCCTGGTGACCTGTGCTTATCTGCAGGATTGCTGGGTCCTCTGCCATGCACTCCTGTATGTCCTACCCTTGACCATTTGGCTCCATTTGCAAGGACACATTTGTGAGACTCTTCAAATGCCCAGAGATCTTTGCCTACAGTGACGTCTCTTCAGGAATAAGAGAGACAGATCCCGAGAGGCATATGGGGCTATGAGCTTGCTGGGGAGGATATGAAGAAGAGCTAGGAAGGAGGCTGCCTGTAGGGGCTGGGCCGTGGAGGCAGAGAGGGCCTTAGGGATCAGACAGCCTTGGGAAGAAAAGTTCTCTAAGACCCACTGGCTGAGTGACCCAGCAGGCCCTGTGCCTGGTCAGCTCTGTCCAGTATTGCCTTCCCCAGTATTTGCCAGCTCAGCTGAAAATAGGTCTGGCCACTCTGGAAGAACAAACTGCTGGCAATGGCTGCAGAAAGGTGACAACGTGCAGGGAAAACAATTCTGTCTCATCGTCCACGCTACTGCTGTCTCTTCCTCCTCTCCTTTTTCATCTTTACCTTTGTTAGGGTCCTTGCTATGGTAACTAGGGCTGGTCTTGAACTCACTGCCTTGGGCTGGGCTCCTGAGTGCTGGGATTACAGTTAAGTTTCTCTGTGTAACAACTTTGGAGCCTGTCCTGGAACTCGCTCTGTAGACCAGGCAGGCCTCAAATCCACAGAGATCCACCTGCTGGGATTAAGGGTGTGTGCCACCACCACCTAACTCTTTCTGTTGTTTCTAATTCAGTCCTTTTTTTTTTTTTTTAAATCTATTTATTTATTTATTATGTATACAATATTCTGTCTGTCTGCAGGCCAGAAGAGGGCACCAGACCTCATTACAGATGGTTGTGAGCCACCATGTGGTTGCTAGGAATTGAACTCAGGACCTTTGGAAGAGCAGGCAATGCTCTTAACCACTGAGCCATCTCTCCAGCCCTAATTCAGTCCTTTCATTTTCAGGCAGGAGACTGTGGGGAAGCCATCTGCCCTGCCCATACCTACAATCTTTGGAAGACTGGACAGGAAGCTTAGAATTTCAAGGCCAGCGTCAGCAATATAGAGAGTTCAAGGACAGGTAGTTCTATATGAACCAGACCCCCATCTTAAAAAAATCAGAAACAAAAGAACCAAAACAAACAAGCACTGAAGCACTTGGGAGAAAGAGGCAGAAGCTGGCAGCTCTCTTCTAGTTCAAGGCCATCGTGGCCTACGGGGTGAATTCAGGCCAGTCAGAGCTTCATAGTGAGACCCTGTCTCAAAAATAAATAAACAAGCCGACAGATAAAAATGGTGCAAATGGATGAGACCTTTTCAGAGACTCGGATGCAGTCACCTACCAGCGCATCGCTTGTGTTAGGGTCCCTGGAGCTGGAAGTGCACAGATGGTTTCCTGTGATAGTCTGATGCTCAGGGCTGCGGAAAGCAAAATACATTTCTTAACTGGGAAAGAGCAACTTCCAAAACAGTCTGTGTTTTAGACACAACCACCCAGAGGTGCTATTGGGCCAGGGTGGGCCAGGTTAGCTGTGCTCGCCCTTCCTTCCTTCCTTCCTTCCTTC